CCGCTGCTAGCCACACTCGGATGGAGGCTGAGCTGGGGAAGCCGGGCAGCTTTCGAGCCCCTTGATGGGGAGCACGGCGCTATTCCCTGGCCTGTGCTGGGTCGGGTGGTGGTGCCATCTCTCCAGCAAAACCCCAAGGGCTCTGCCGTGAACATCCCCACTTCCTCGCCTCCTCTCCTCCTGGCCCAGACAGCCGCCATCCGGCACCTCCGGTCGATGGAAGGCGCGAAAAGGGGCTTTGCCTCCAGCACTTTCATCTGAACTCACTGCGCTCCCTGGAGCAGTGCGGTCCCCCATCACCAGAGCTGCCGTGATAGCACGTGCTCAGCAGATGTTTTTCCAAAGCCCCACTCCATTTGGATGAGGCACCTTTCCAAGAAGTTTTTGAGGAGCACAGGAGCGATGTGCTCTTCTCTCTGGGCTTCCTCCACAGTTTCTAATCCGCAACTCTCAGCCAAAACAGGCTTCATTACCCGCAGGCTACTCTTTTCCCTGATCTGAGTTTCAGATATTTCTCCTGTGCTTAAAAAGCTGCTTTTGGCACCATTTTCAGAACTGGAGCCGAGGTGGTTTTGCTCTCCCACATTCATGCAGGAGCTTGGGTGCAGCATGCGACGCCTACACCTCCTGGCTGCCTTTTACCGCTGTGCATCTCCCCGCTCTGCTTTTGGGGGAACAGGTCAGATAATTTATCCAGAGACACAGCAGCCACGATCTCAGACCTACAAACCCGAATCAGAAGATCGTCTCTAACAGCAGGTTAGATCGCAGTCCCCGGGGACAAGACCCTTCTCGCTCTGTGCTTGCGCAGCCCCCAGCGCGGTGGCTCCTCTGAAAGCTGCTCTGAAAGCAGTGCAGACGCTCAACCCACAGAGGCAAGACAGCCCGAAATAGCCTCATTAGTGAGGAATGTACTGATGGCGGTCCAGATGTTTTAGTCCTCTGGGGCTTGCAGTCATGGATGGCACTGGCTCCTGACGGCGCGTGCAGCAGCCTGCTATGGCAGGCGGATGGCACTGGCTCCTAACGGCGCGTGCAGCAGCCTGCTATGGCAGGCAGCAGCGTCACGGGGCGCAGGGGGGTGGCAGCACCAGAGAAATGGGTGGGTATTTTTCGGAGGGAAGGGCAAATTGCATCCTCTGAAACCAGGCTGGGCAAACCTGCACAAGGCAGAGCCGGCGGTGCTGGAGCACAGTTTGGCTCGGCGGCGTCACGGCGGAGCGTTCAGGCATGTACTGAAACAGGGACTCGAGCTCGGTGTGAAGCCAGGGGCCTCGTTTCAGCCGCTGGCCCATCTCCCCCCCCACCCCCTATAGAGTGCTCTGAACTCCCACTTGCTGGCTAATGCGTGCGACGGGACCACTTATGCGAGTGCGGAGAAGCCAGAGCCCATGCTGCAGGGAACACGCCTGTGCTTGCCAGGAGGAAGGAGCCAAGCACGCTTCTCTCTCTCTTTCTCCCAAGATTTACAGTTTTGGTGGCTGGATGCCAAATTCCCTCATCTCAGCAACAAAACAGGACTAGTCTGGAGCTGGTGTGTGGAGAGGGGAGAGGTGGTGGGGAGGTAGGTGCTAGTGCTCAGGACTCCCAGGGGTGCGCAGGTCTCCTGCAGGGACTATTGGGGGTGTGTGTTTGTGAGGTTTGTTTCAACAGATTAGCTATGGTTGAGGAATGAGTGAAGGCTGCCGTACCGGAGTGCAGCCACCCCTTCCACTCCGAGCACCTAAGTCCTCCAGCATTTTGGAAAATCTCACCCTCCATTTAGTGAAAAGTTGCTCAGTCCCATAGGATTTGGCTTTCAAGTGATAAAAAACTCCAGCCCAAGAGCCAGAATCACAATTGCCATCGCAGGAGCAAATTGCAAAGGTGTCGCTTTCCCGGGCACTGTGTAAATCAGAGGCGACATTCCCCTGCCTCAACTTCAGCACAGCCAGACGTTCATTCCCCAAATCCTGTCCCACGGATCCCTGTCTGGGGCTACACAAACTGCCTCCGCCGGGGCAGGGGGAGCCACCTGATGCAGCTCAGCTCTCTGTCCTCTGCATGTAACCTCGTTGCTGACGATGCCCCCCTCCCCACGCATCCCTGGAAGAGGAAAGCTCCCTGCCAGCTCCCCCCGGGAGTCACTTATCTGCTTAGGAAAATACCCAGCTGCCAG